TTCAGTGCCACCATGTACCACCCACTGGTGGAAGAGATTGTATCAGGTCTTTATGTACATCTCAATGAACAAACCCTCTACATAAGACCAAAAGCATGATTATTATTTATATGGCATTTATATATTCCATAGCCCTGTACAAAGAGCTTATAGACTCTCATTATTCTCTGCTTCAGTGCTTACATTTGCAGTTCTGTGTCCTTACTACCAACATGCAGTCACTAGGGCCCCTGTGATACATGGGAACAATACCGACCATTGTACCAACATGCTGCCTACAAATCCATGTTCTTATATGGAGGAATTAATTAGTATTTGTGTGATGTGTCCCAACTCAGTTATAGCCTGTTCAGACCCAAGTTTCTACACTTTATAAGAGTAAAGCTGATCAGTTTTACACTTTCATGGAGACCTGTTCCGTGTATTAAATAAGAAGGCCTAAAAATACCTGCAGACAAATATGAAAACCTGACTTTGTGTGTATACACAACTGATGAAAGTCAATATGTTCTAGGTATTTACGAAACAAAATTGTATATATTGATTTCTGTCATCCCCTGCCCACCAGCTGACATTTCAGATCAGACTGACAGCTGGAGTGCTAGCATTGGTTACTGAAGTAAAAGAGTGGAGTAAAATGGTTGTAAAGGTAAAAGTTTTTTTTCCTTACCTTAATGCATTCTCCAGTAAGGTGAAAAACTGTTTTAAAAGCGTCTCCCCCCCCCCCCTTAAGCACTTACCTGAGCCCCATCTTGATCCAGCACTCTTTTCTGCTCTGTCTCCTCTCACAGGACACTCGGCAGCAGCGGGAGCCCATTGGCTCCTTCTGCTGTTAATCAAAGCTTGTGAGTAGGAGATGGCCAACCCGCACTGTGCGTGTCTATAGACGTACATGGCCCAGTTTGTAACTAAGCCCATACAAGTGCCCCATAGCAAGCAGGAGGAGGAGCCAAAAGCACTGGTGGAGGACCCCAGAAGAGGAGATCTGGGATCGCTCTGTGCAAAACAGTTGCAAAGAACAGGTAAGTATAACATGTTGGTTAATTAAAAAAATAAGTAAATAAAATAGTCTCTACAATCACTTTAAAGTACTATTCATTTCTTGATACCCAAATTATTGTTACATATAAAGCCAATAGCCATGTTCATAATTAGCCTTCTGTCTGATTTAATCCCTTTGGAAATGGTTGGAATTGTCATTTTTTTAAATGCCCCCACTCTGTTTACCAGGTCCTGTGCTTCCCACAGTCAGGGAATTTTCACACAATCCCTGCCTGTGGGGTCACATGTCCCATGTAATTACACTCAATTGCACACACAAGCTTGATTTACTGCTAAAATTGAATGGCTTGATGTCCTGGCAATCAGAGCCGGTGAACTGATCATGTGTCGTCTTTCTCTCCATCCTCTGAGATGCCTGTGCATTCAGCATCTGAACATGGCTGCATTGTATATGGAAATAAGGAAAGTGCAGAGAAGGAAATGAGGTTAGATAAACCGAGAAATGATCCAGTGCTCCACAATTCAGGACAGAATTTTCACCCTGTGCCTTCTTTCAATATATTGAGATAAGATGTAGCAGGAGCTGTGACTCATGATTAAGTATGAGATCGTGTGAAACGCGTTGACAGGTCCTGTATTCATGTTCTGGTGTTTTGTGTGTCCTATGGATCAATAAATATACACTATATTCATCTATCCTCCGGTGTGTGTGCTGGCCTTTCTTCCTGTTGCTGTAGCTATCAGTATTGTGACTGCTGATTCGTGAACCTGCAGGTTGCCAGTTAGCGCCTGACCACACTTAATCCCGCCCACTGATTTCTGGATTGACAGTACTGCTTCTGTTACTGAAACCCTCCCACTGTAAGCTGCAGTGTCTGGGAGGGGGAGTGTGTGAAACACAAAGGGAGGAAGATTGGGCTCCGTCAATGAGGATAAAGGGAGTTTGATTTTTACTTTCTGCAGCTTGTGCATCACATAGTGACCAGATTTAGGACAGGTTTAGACTGTTGCATAGGATTCTATAAATGCAACTAAATTATACTTAGATTACAGCCCTGTCATATCTATCATATCTATATAGGAAATACTGTTTTGTGTGAATGATAGATTAATTTATTCTCTGGTATTTCAGTGTGTTAAAGCCCAAGTAACAGGCTCACTATAAATCCAGCCCCTGCAGCATCCATACTTGCCTTCCACAAGAATCCCTCTGTAAGCTCCAAGCCATTTCCAGTCGGAGCTTACACAGTGCTGAGAACTCGCTCTGTGGCTGAACTGCCTTTTGCCAAACCCCAGGACTGTCACAATGGAGGAAGGGTACCAAGTGAAGATGATCTACATTGTTTTTTGATGTCTTGTTACATTTATGGTTTGTTTTTCAGGTACTATCACTACCTTTACACCAATTACCTGCCTGCCAGTCTGAAAAACATGGTGGACCAATTAGCCAATTGTGAAGATATCTTAATAAACTTTCTGGTGTCTGCTGTCACCAAGCTGCCACCAATCAAAGTGACACAGAAGAAGCAGTACAAGGAAACAATGATGGGACAGGTATGTATAGCCGACATGAGAATATGGAATCTGGTTATGGCCAATTTATCCCCAGGGCTTGTGTTATCTATAGGACACTGGTGTGATCTCCATGCCTGGTAATGCCCCAGTTTATTGCATCTGAATTTCAGAAGAGAGTGAAACTTTGGTGGTGGTGTGGGTGGGCCAAGCTATAGACTTGCTTACAAGGGTCTTACCACCGGGAGCTGGTCGCTAATTCTTACCATCCACCTGTAGCGATGATGTAACGAGGAAGTATAAACGTGCACCCGAAACATGGCAGCTGTATATAGTTGCTATGGACAGCACAGAGCATTCTTGTAGTCCTACAACCACAGTAATCCAATGGGTTGCTCCTGTTTGCAGTGTAGGACACAGTTTACAAATTGTATTTTTGCGAAATACACAAGCCTGTTCAGACTGCTATAAACACCTTTTTCCAACATTTCCTTGTTAATTTTCTGCTATGCCAAACTTCGACCTTGTGCAAAGACAACAAATTAGAACAGAATCTAATTTGTTCTGTAAAAAGGAAGAGAAGTTTAGAGTGGAGTGTTAACAAGGCCTGGCCTCGATCAAAGGTTCCTGTCTCTCTGAAAATACCCAATTCAAGGTGAAAGGAGACTATAGTAGAATGTTTCTGGATTATTTTTTTTTTAGGTTTACAAATTTCAAAAACTATTGGGAAGACTTACTAAACCTGAATGGTGAAAAATCAGGTGCTGTTCTGCATAGAAACCAATCAGTAAAACGCGCCCCCCCCATTCCCTCATCAGTCAGAACTGCACCTAATCTTGTACCCTTAAAGCGGTAGTAAACCCCCCAAAAATTCTTAAAAATCTTCTCCCTGCAAGTTAAGAGCATACTGTGCAAGCACATATGAAGGACTTACCTGAAAATGAAGCCCTCCAGCGGAGCGCTGTCATGGCTCCCTGAGGCTCCCATCTTCACACGGTCTTCATTCCAGGTTCGCAAGCTGCAGCCATCTGATTTGCCAAGCCGCGATGTTGTCACTCCATCACATGCGCGAATGAAGTTTCGGCCACGGCACGCCTCTCTCAATGGACGGCATGCCGCTGACATCACTTCACTTCCACAGTAAATATCTCCTAAACGGTGCACTTTTACAGTACCTATAGGTAAGCCTTTTTAAAGGCTTTCCTGTAAGTAAAAGTTACTAAAGTGGGATTACTTCCACTTTAAGTTTTAGTAAATCCCCCCCCCCCTCCCCAATATGTTTGTTTTTTTCTTCATTTGTTTTAAAAGCTTGCTAGGATTTTTAATTTTAAAAAGTGCTTCCCGTATGCTTGTTATTAAGACTGTCTGAACACTGGTGATCGAGAGCGGGTGTGCCCTTCCTAGGTGAGCCATTCTGCAGTATGTGTAATCTGATCTCTCCAGCTCTTCTCTTTTATGACTGAACATGGTTTCTTAATCTGGAATCAGCTAATACTCTAGTTGGGGAGCTTGCCACCTGCTTAATACTACTGTACAGTGGTTGTGCCTTAGGCAGGCCATACACACCACGGGTGTCAGGAAATAAATTTGCTCGATGTGTCCCCATCAGCACAGTCAGTGTTGACAGGGGAATCCATCCTGCTGAATCATTGTATTCTCTTGCCAGGGGAAGGTGTCCCCATTGGGAGAAGACTGATTATTGCTAGCGGCTATACCAATTGCTAAAGATAATTGTATGTAAAATCTGGCAGGCTGGTTGTACCCAAGTTGATCGATCGATCAACTTGCGTACATTCAGCCTTCCTATACATAGTTCGAATCTCAGCTGGTTCAGAAGGAACTGGCTGAGATTTGAACTATCTTTGGCCAGCCTCAGTGTTCATCTCTACAGTGCAAATCTACCAGTCAGGCCTGACTAGTTAAAAACAATAGACTCTGAATCACAGAGATTTTTATTGTGGTGACTGAATTTCAATCTTGCCATGTATTGAAGCATCCAGTATGGTTGTAATACATAGCTCCACACTTTGAAGGAAAAGAACTTTAAACATATTTACAAATGTAATTAACCCATACAATAGTTTGTAAACAGTAGGGAAAATAATGATTTGATCCCATGCAGATTTTGTAAGTTTGCCCACTTACAAAGAAATAAAGGGTCTATAATTTTTATCATAGGTATATTTTAAATGATAGAGACAGAATATCAACCAAAAATCTAGAAAAAAAAAACACGATACAAATGTTTTTTTTTATTATTATTATTATTATTATACAGGATTTATATAGCACCATCAGTTTGCTCGACACTTTACAATATAACGGGAGACAATACAGCAACAATACAGTTCAATACAAGAGGGAAAGGAGGGCCTTGCTCCTAGGAGCTTACAATCTAGGAGATAAATTGAGTTGCAGTTCAGTGAGTAAAATAAGTATTTGATCCCCTACCAACCAACAATAATTCTGGCTCCCACAGACTGGCTATGTGCTCATGGGGTACACAGATTGTTCCTGTAAATTTAAGAAGGTGCTCCTAATGACAACTCGTTATGTGTATAAAAGATACCTGTCCACAGAATCTTTCTTCCATTCAAACATCATCTCCATCATGGGCAAGACCAAAGAGCTGTCAAAGGATGTCAATGACAAGATTGTAGACCTGCACAAGGCTGGAATGGGCTACAAGAAGCTTGATGAGGATACAACTGTTGGAGCGATTATTTGAAAATGGAAGAAATACAAAATAACCTTCAGTCGGCTTTGGTCTGGAGCTCCATGCAAGATTTAGCCACATGGGGTAAGGATGATCATGAGAAAAGTGAGGGATCAGCCCAGAACTACGCAGGAGGAGCTTGTGAATGATCTCAAGGCAGTCCGGACTACAGTCACCATTGGTAACACAATACGCCGCCATGGATTGAAATCCTGCAGCACCCGCAAGGTCCATGTACAGGCCCGTCTGAAGTTTGCTAATGAAGATCTAAATGATTCGGAGAAGGATTTGGGAGAAAGTGCTGGGGTGAGATGAGACCAAAATTGAGCTCTTTGGCATTAACTTGACTCACCATGTTTGGAGGAGGAAAATTCTGACAATGACCCTAAGAACACAATCCCTACAGTCAAGCATGGAGGTGGAAAAAATGAAAAACAAATCCTACCAGGCTCTACTTTTTATTGTATAAACATATAAATAAGGGGAGGGAGCCCACCACAAAAGCTTATATCAAAACATCCCTTGCATAAAAGAAAGGTTTTTAGCTCAACTTCTCAACCCAAATAATGAAAATTGAATACCGACAGATATCATTGACTGCATTACTATCTTTTATTGATTTAAAAACCAAGACAAATTGCACACATACATAGACCCATTTAAAAACATTTATGGGTCAAAGGTCACGTTAATGGATCTGCTGGACCAAAAGACATATATCCTCACATGGGTGTATCACTAATATTTTCAAGTCTATGATGGAGTCATATATACATGGAACATTTATTTGTTGTTGACATCTGCATTGGCGGTTCTTAATTGAATATTTGCTACTAACACTTTAAGCAGCTATTTGTGCGAGGGAGGTTCACATTTATGCTAAATGCATTTGGGCTGACATACATCTACAGCAAGCTACTATAATCATTTTCCTCCTCTGGACCACACCCAGCTGTCCTTTTCTTGGTTTGGATGCTTATAAGTAAAATCCGGTTCAAACACCATATATCCAGCAGAATTATTAGCCGATTTATCGTCAGGTACAAAGTACACCGTAATTCATCTGTCTCATTTTTGGGCTATACTACTAGGCCTTGAGATGAAATTGATCTATTTAATACACTTTGGTTATGGCCTGAAAGATGGACTGTGAGGGCAATCATCTATTTAGCAGCTGCACACCTTTTTTATTGAGTGGGCACTCTTTTCATCCTTGCTAATTCTTTATAGCTTTCCCTTAATTTTTGAGAGCTCTCAATTTAATTGATTTGACATAACTATAGAGTAATGCAGTAGTTGTATATACAGATGTGCATTTGGTCCAGCAGATCCATTGACCTTTGACCCATAAATGTTTTTAATGTATCTGTATATGTGCAATGTGTCTTGGTTTTTAATCAATAAAACATAGTAATGCAGTCGCTGATATCTGTCGGTATGCAATTTTCATTATTTAATTTTAAATTATTCTGGTTGAGAAGTTGAGTTAAAACCTTTCTTTTATGCAAGGGATGTTTGGATGGAGGTGGAAACATTCTGCTTTGGGGCTGTTTCTCTGTTCAAGGTACAGGCCAACTGTGCCGCATTGAGGGGCCAATGGACAGGGCCATGTATTGTAAGTTGCCAAGTGAGAGCCAAGAAACCTTAAAGATTTAGAGAAGATCTGTACAGAAGAGTAGACCAAATTCCTCCTGAGATGTGCAAACCTGGTAACCAACTACAAGAAATGTCTTACCTCTGTGCTTACCAACAAGGGTTTCTCCACCAAGTACTAAGTCATGTTTTGCTTGGGGATCAAATACTTATTTTACTCACTGAACTGCAACTCAATTTATAACATTTGTATCGTGTTTTTTTTTTTCCGTATTTTTTGTTGATATTCTGTCTTTATCATTTAAAATACACCTATGATGAAAATTATAGACCCTTCATTTCTTTGTAAGTGGGCAAACCTACACAATCTGCAGGAGATCAAATAATTATTTCCCCCTTTGTATCTAATGGAATGTATATGATTTAAATATATTGGAAAAGTATTTGTGTAGAACATGTAGATTCATGTTATGTGTTCTCTTTCTTCTCAGACATCCAGAGCTTCTCGTTGGGCCGACCCTGACCACTTTGCCCAGAGACAGACTTGTATGAATACGTTTGCCAGCTGGTTTGGCTATATGCCGCTCATTCACTCACAAATGAGACTGGATCCAGTGCTTTTTAAGGATCAAGTGTCAATCCTTCGAAAGAAATATCGGGACATTGAACGACTCTGAGACATACTGCCACCGGAGGGAGCCTTCCGCCCAGTGCACACTCATCAACACACCGCTCTTGACAGCGGTCCTCACGCCGCAAACGCACACACCCCAGCCACCCAGGAAATGCAGAGCATTCACAATAGAGACTTTGGCCAACCGGAATCCACTGCACTGGACTTCTTACAAAAAACCATCGAGCTTTGACGTCTCAAAAACTAGGCTGTGTACAGTTTAATTATGGAACATTAAATAATTATTTTTGAAATGATTGCTATGCAGGTTTAAACTTTTTTTAATGAACAAAAACTATTAAAATCAGAGATCTTTCTTTAAGTTCTGTTGGTCTTTAATTTCTGTCAGTTGAAGTTTCAGTATTTTAAGTACACAAACTGATAATGGTAATACACAGCTCATCAATTTATAAATCGCAAAGGAGGGGCAGTTCACTGCATGTAAAATCTTCTCTTCTACTGATTTGCCCATTCCTTGTAGACTTCATTCTACATAAATTGATGAGCTGCTTGCCATTTTTTGTCTCATTATTGTGATAGATAAACACGCACAATGTCTCCAGCTTTCTTGGATGTGCCAAAGCTTCTGATGTGCTGTGAAATCCTCCAGGTAAGTTTTGTTCTCACTTAAGTCTTTTGATATGCAATATATGCCTTGATTCCTTTTATCTCATAGACTAGATTAGGATTACACACATTTTTATTTTGGATAGTACTGAGGGGTTAGAACTTCTGTTGGGTTTGTGTGCTCTCTGTGTGTCTGAGATTTCCCCTGTGCTCCTTGACCTGAGGATACACTGTACCAGGTGTCACTTGGACAGGAAACAAAGCAAAGTCTCCCCAGTGGGAACACAGACCTCATTGAACATCTGTCTCCCAACAAGTTTTAAGGGTGTCAAAGATCTCCCCCTTCTTCCAGGCTTCAAAACAGGCATAAAATCATTTCATACTGGGTTACATTAACTTTTACAGTAAGTGTAAACCATTCATAAAGATCAAGAGGACAGTTTAGCCAGTATCGAAATTATGACAAAATTCTTGCCAAGAACCAGTATAATATCTCACAATTCATTAAAACAGGAGCATGTGTAATTGTAACAGATGACAAAAAAAAAATGACGAAAAGCGGATCTCATGTAAAATTAGAGAAAATGATGATTCATCTTCACTAGTACTATAAATCAGTGGTCTCCAAACTGCAGCCCTTTGCCTGCCTTTACCTGGCATTTGGGGCACTAAACCTCCCACTGATATGAGGCACTATTGCTCCAATGACAACAATGAGAGGGAATATTCTGTCCACAGACAACAGCATGGAGCATAATTCATCACACTGATAAAAACGATGGAATGCTGTTCCACTGACACCAATGATGGGACACTGTTCCTCCCACTGGCACCAATGATGGGACACTATTCCTCCCACTGACACCAATGATGGGGCACTATTCCTCCCACTGACACCAATGATGGGACACTATTCTTCCCACTGACACTAATAATGGGACACTATTCTTCCCACTGACACCAATAATGGGACACTATTCTTCCCACTGACACTAATGATGCAACACTTTTCCTTATAGTGAAACCAAGCATGAGACACTATTCTTTCACTAATACCTACAATGGAGCATTATTCCCTATCCTACTGACCACAGGTGCAATGTCTTTTTTTTTTTTTTTATCCCAACTAACCACATTCCAACATCCCCCCCCCCCCCCCCCCCCCAAAGCCTGCAAGATAGTTTTTGTTTTGAAAGTTTGGAACCACAAATATAATTCCTCATTGAAACCCATAGAGCTGCCAAAAAATGTTCTATTGTACTCTGGTTCTTTTTGTTTTTAAATTATTGTTTTCATTGGACTTTGTGCACTTGAATCTTCAAATCTGCTTTTGGGACACCTCACTTTTGTTGAGAGCAGCCTTACCAGAGCCATTGTGCCTTATTGCTGTTTATTTGATCTCCTGATGATTTGAATCCAGTGCCTTGTTTTTACAATGATAACCTGACAGGTTCTAATTCTGGCCATAGACGGATCGGAATTCTGCCACTGTCTGAATTTTGATGAGCATGTGGCTGTCCCTGTTTGACAAAAGTCTTCCAACTTGTTAGATCGACTTCTGTTGATCAGCTGTAGCCACTGAGCAGTGTGTTCTGACAGCAGCAGGTGCTGCTGTCAGAATACAATGTCCCAGTTAGGGAGGAATCTTCCATCCACTTTGTGTGGGTGAAGGAATTGGTTGGGTTTTTTTTCATTCCGTAAGCTATTTTAAATAAAAAAGAAAGCAAACCGTTTATGCCTAGCTTAAAGGAAAAAAAAAATTTATTGGGGTTGGGCTCTAAAGTGGACCTGTCATGTCCACTAAAATGGCAAATACCATTGCTTGTAACGTGTAGGCACCAACTACCTCCACTTGACTCAACTCATTTGTTGGTGGCGAGAACTCTGGATCCTAGGCCCAGGCTATCTATAAGGCTTCAACTTAACTACAAATCTGTAGAAAGTGAGGCAGATCTCTCCAATGAGGTCATAAACTGCAGAAAAAAACCCAGCAGGGATTCCACCCTTTCCCAGTGGAGTTGGGCTTTGAATAAACTGCCTTTTGCTTTTCATTTTCTAAAAATATCCATGACTACCTACTCTTCCAGGGCTAGTTCCCCTGGAAGCACTAACTGGAAACATTGCATCTCAGCTCCCAGTGAAGGGTCAGCGGCTTGTAGCGATTACCAATTCAAAGAGGCCCTTGCCACTTTCATAATGTCTATATTTTCTATAGTCTACTTAAGTTGAGTCCCTTTTGGTATTACTTTGGTTTCTATTGCTAACCATTTCAACGGGAAACCAGTCACCAATAGGCATTTGTAATAATCTGAATCTATACTCTTGAATTGGTATAAAAGGGTAGTATTACCTCTCAGGCATTACTTGTTTTTATCATTTGCTTGCGTTTTCTCCCTGGCATTGCAGAAGTGTTGAGATGTAAGTAATATTAATAAAACTCAATGGCTCCTCTACAAAGTTCTAATTAAAAAAAAGATGCTATGCTTGATATTCAAATGAAGTCTCCTGAGTTTCTGGTCGATTCATCCAAGGCTGGACAAACACTAGTAGAATTTTGTTAGATTTTTTAGTTTTAAGAACGTTCATTCCATTTTCTAATTGTTAGTGGGGTCAAATAAGCATTCATTTTCAACTGCAGCAGTGGGAAAATTCAAAAGGAATAGGATGGAAAAATTTTTGAAGGAACAAATTTTTAACACCCTTTCTCTTGGTCATCCTCCGTATTGATGACGGACATTCAACTGTCAAAGAATAAAGATGGAATCCTCAATAAATATAAAGAAACAGACAAGAATATCCTTCTCCAGAAGCCACTCTAGGATGTCTGTTATTAGCCTTGAGTGTGGTAGGAGACAGGTCATCCCTCATAGGGGCTCTACAGCTTGACACTGGACTGACAGGAAGGAAATACAAATGAATATCCTTACATACACTTATCTGCATGGGATACCACAGATCGAGACATAAGAGAGGGGTACGGCAACACAATTTATGTTTATCAATATGGCCCTAATGTACTAAAATGTTTTTTCCCGAGAGTTTCAATTGATTTAAGAGTAAAGATTCAGATTTCTACAAATGTTCATTTCTGATTAATGATTACAAACCTATCCTCTAATCCTGAGAAGTGATACCATTTTATGGTCCTTTCAGTGAAGAGCAGCAGCATGTGTCCAGCTTTTAATGAGAGGATGGTGAGAATTATCACATGCATATGCAGTAAATGAATATTATTATTTCCACCCCTGTTTATGACCTGACCCTGTAATCTGCGGTGTTATTTCTGTAGCTATATATGTTTCCTCTGAAGTGGGAAGTTTTTTTTCCTAACTATAATGGAGCACAGCGTGAGCTCATCGGCATGCATGGTGTGCCAGATCTCATACCCCAAGTCTTCATGACATGTCATAATTCAAAAGAGAAGTAGGCTGTAATATGGGACACAGTCTATTTTTATTTTGTCATGCTGGGTTTGTTTAGAGATGAGCAGTGGTTTTTATAAAGAGGGGAGAGATTACAATTATTTGCTGTGATCAGCTGCCTTCCCAGTGTAAGGAGTAGAGTCCATCTGGTAGTAGATTTGAAGCTAAACTTCAGGCAGATATATATTTTAAAAAATTATGATTTAATGCAATTAAATATAATATTATTTAAACAAATATTACAATATTATTTAAACAAATTAATGTATTTTTAATTGCAACTAGTTGCCAGAATGTGACTTGGTATCTGCACCTCGTAATCCCCTGTACAGTAATGGGAAGGAGGTACAGCACTTGGAGCCAGTCTGATGTACAGCCATGCATATGTGAGAGGAAGAGACCTCTAAAAGTGGGGCCTGCCCAAGTATAAAGAGAGAGAGTTTTTTTTTTTTTTTTTTTAAGTGGTAGTAAACACAGCTTGGTCACTTGTACCTACAGGTAAACTTATAAACGTGCGTCATTTAGGAAACATTCACATCTGTAGCAGCTGGTGACGACACCATTGCATGTGCACTGCATTGTCAATGGAGGGCGCACTTGAGTGTGCCGTCCATTCAGAGCACTGTGCCGCAGTTATGGGTCCTGTGTGCATGCACGGGATTGAGGTCATTGCAGCTCAGCCATTCAAATGGCCGGAGCCCACGAACCTGGAAGAAAGATCAGGGAAAGAGAAAAACCATGTCAGCAGTTACCTGCTGAAGATTTTTTTTTTGAGACTTTATTACTACATTAAGGTATATAAGGGGAATTGTGTAGCTCCAGATAAGCAAAGACCAGTTCATGCAGGCAAGTGTTCATTAACAAAAATTATTATTTATTTATTTTTTTTTAATTAACTGGGCTGCTAATAGAAATTACATGGACTTGCTGTTTTTATCATTTTTCTCCTCTGAGCTTCCTTCCCAGATCTTGATACCCGACTCCAGGTATGTTGGTGCTCTCTGTGCCTGCCGGG